CCCGGCTGTGCGTGTCCCTGGCTGTGTGTGTGCCCGGCTGTGCGTGTGCCCGGCTGTGCGTGTCGCTGGCTGTGAAGAGGCAGGCTGGGCAGCAGAGTAGACAGTCACCTGCTCTCCTGGCTGGAGCCTCGTCTCCGCTCTGGGCTCTCACTGTGCAGGGAAACGCTGATGGCTGTGGCATCCAGAGCAGGGTCTCTTCTGATCCTGCCACAGGTGCGTGCTGGCTGTTTTGACTGCAGGAAGATGGGTTAGCTCTTCTAGGTCCTCCCTCTTTCCCTTTGTAGAACGGTCACGTGTCCTCTGCTCGCTCTGGGCTCACGCCCTGTGAGATCCCCTGCCAGCATGCCCGGCCCTTTCCCCAGGGAACACGTGGGACACTGCATGCGAGGGGCTTCTGTCCCGGCCGACCAGAACGCTCCCTCCCAGGCGATTTTGACTCAGCAGCCTGGGCCCCCTGAGCAGTTGAGGGGTCTACAAAATTCATGTGCACTTGGGGAATGAGAATTATTACAATTTCCACCTCAGTGTAAATGAAATATAGCAAAGAAACAGACTGCAAGTAATAATACAAACCAAAAATAAGTGACTTCTAGATGATGCCATTTTAGCGGATTCAGGTCATCATTTCTGTAAGTACAGCTAGTTGTTGAGCGTTTATTTTATTAGGCACTTGATGTTTGAATCAGGGCATTTGCATTAGAATACTTAACATTAGCCTTTGGAACACCAGCCATAAGCTAGTAAATCACGTCGTATTCAGGATTCTTTTTAATTAAGCTTTTTTATTTTGAGATAATTGTGGATTCGCAGGCAGTTGTAAGAAATAGCACAGATCCCGTAGACCCCCTACCCAGTTTCTCCAGTGGTAGCATCTTGTAAAACCAGGGCACCGCACCCTCCAGGTGTTGTCATTGGCACAGTCAGGACGCAGAACACGCCCATCCCCACAAGGATCCCTCAGGTTGCCCTTTTAGCCACATCTGCTTCCCCTTCCCCCCTGACAACTGCTGATCTCTTCTACAGTGTTGTCATTTCAAAACAAAAAGGAATTGTAATTTCCCCTTGATAAACCTGTATGAGCTAAGAGTCTCAAACGTCGTAGCTTTAGTTGGGAATACATGAATCTATTGAGCCAGCACTTCTTCAGGTGTGTCAGAATTTCTGGCCAGCAGTTGTATTTGTTCTTGATTAATAAAATAAGGAAATGTGAATTTATTAATTTTGATTGACAAATTTGATTGATTTTTCAAAATTGGGTACCAACACTGGGTACCAACTGTCTAATCAGAGTGGGGGCCAAAGCCAGACACAGACACGTAGAAGTGCAGCAGTAACTGCTAGTTGAAGATAGCAATATTCAACCGACTTCCCTGTGTAAGGGGGGTAGTGGACATGATGCTTTATTAGGGTACATAGGAACTTTTCAATCCATCCCACGTTTGTGTAAGAAAATTGGACTGATGGATGGAGATACCTAAAATGTTATTTCACTTTTTAAAAAATCGCCTATGGAAAGTAAAGAATCTTAATTGAAGCTCTCTTTTTTCTAGAATCTAGATGACCTTGTAAATTTATTTTCTGCCCCATATATCCCATATTCTACCCCGTTGCCTTTGTTTCCCCATCTGCCTTGGGCGGCGTCTTTGCAGTAAGAAGTGCACCTGAAATCCTCTGGTGGAGGAAGTGCTCACAGTGCCGTCTGGCCCTGCGTTTCATCTCCCTGCCCGCTCCTTGCCTCTGTCCTCCCGGTTGGGGCTCAGCCTGTGTCAGTCCCGTGAGGGCATTGAGCAGCAGCCCTCCCCTTCAGCTTGCAGGCCCCCAGCGACATGGGCCATGTTCTGTGTGGCCGTGTGACCCCTTACCCCTTAGCATCGTGCATTGATGGGGATTCTTCAAATCCATGGTTTTGAGTGAGTGTTTTGAGGATGTGTGAAATACACTTAGAATCAGCTTTAATGGTAGCAGTTCGAGTTGTGTTCTTAGTATGGAGCCTGCATTTGCAGTACAGTGTTGGTTCCTTTAGGTTGAACTTCGTCTCTGCACTCATTCCCTGCATCGCCCTCACCACATCCATTCTCTGTCTCTGTCTCAGATTCACAGTCAGTTGATAAAGGTGTGCTGGCATGGCAGTAAGACTCAAAGTAGTTTTGTATGTCTATTTTTAAACAAATGTCCTTTATATATATATTTTTTACAAGGTTACTGAGATATAATTTATATATCGTAAAGTTCACCCATGTATTTAAAGTGTGCAATTTAATGGTCTTTAGTATGTTTGCAGAGCTGTACAACCATCACCATATCTAATTTTAGAACAGGTCATCACCTGAGAAGAACCCTTGTCCCATTAGCAGTTAGCAGTCACTCCCCAAGTCCCTCCCTCGACCCCAGATCCACCCCACCCCTGCAGGTCTCCCCCAGCCCCTGGCAACCACTGATCCACTCTCTGTAGATTTGCCGATTCTGGGCACTTCCCATAAATGGAATCATAAGACTCTGGTCCTTGTGACTGGCCTCCTTCACTGGCTTGCACACGTTGTAGCCGTGTCATCATCATTCTGTTTTATTGATGAATACTGTTCCATTGTATAGCTGTACCACATTTTGTCTGTTGGTTCATCAGTTCATGGATATTGGGGTTCTCTGCCTGTTTGGGCTGTTGTGAATAGTGCTGCTGTGCACATTCCTGTACAAGGTTTCAAGTGGATGTAGGTTTTCGTTTCTCTGAGCGGAATTGCTGAGTCATATGGTGATTCTGTGGTTAGCGTTTGAGGACCTGCCAGCTTGTTTTCTGAAGTTACTGCACCATAAGAGATCTTTTAAATTACAACTGGATTTGATCATGTCACAACTTCTAAAGCAGTAATCACCTCTGCCAGGGTCAGCAGTTCCCAGCCTTGCTCACGGACCCCGCTCTCTCGGGCCCTGGGGGTGCGGGCTCGCCCCAGGTCATCCTGGTGAGCCCCACTCCACAGCCGTCGGCAGCCTGTGAAGAAATCGCCTATCAGGTACAGCACAAGTTTTATCCACAATCTCTCATAGTTTTCAAAAAGCGTAGCTTCAGAAGGGATGGGATGGAGGGTCCTGGAGAGTCCTGCATGGCCGGGCTCGGCGCCAGCCTGAAGACGTGTGTCTCCCGAGAGACGAGCAGGTGCTGAGCAGGGAGGACCCGGGGGTGGGGGGTAGCACTGGGTCTCGTTTGTTCCATGATTTTCCAGTAATGCGGAAGTGTAGTTTTAAATCTATCACTGTCTTCTTTACTTGCCCACTGATCAGATTGCACGTGGCCATTTACTTGCCTTTGTTCTTTTTGTAGGATTTCCTGTCATACCTTTGCTGATTCTTTCAAGTCTTGCTATACTTTTTCATAGTATACACGTTCACGTGTGTGTGCATGACCTATTTCTCCTTTGACTAGTCCTTTTTCTTAAACGCAGTTTGGCAGCGGGGGTGAGGGTGGACGAACACGTAGTAAATGACAGAGTTCCACATATAAAGGCCTAAAAACTCCTGGAACTTTGCAGAGAAGTAAAGACGAGGGGTGAGGACCTCGCCCGCAGCGGCCACGACAAGTGACCTGGGGGCCGGGTCTGCGGCTGGGGTCCCAGCCGGCGCCGTGCTCTGCTTCCCAGAGCCTGCCCGGTCAGCGTGCTTGAGGCACGCCTGAGCTGCTCGTTGCAGCTGCTCCCACGGGAGGCCAGGAGGCCGGCCGCCTCCCACAGATGACAGCCGAGCTCAGGGGCTGGGTTCGGGGCGGGGCTGCCTGTACCCCTCGCGCCGGTCCCGTCAAGCCGGGATTTCTGACCCGCTCCAGGTGACGGACGTGTCTCCTAACCTGGCCCAGGGTGGGCAGCCCGAGAAGGAGGGCCGGCTGCACCAGTGCCTGGAGTGTGGCCGCACCTTCGCCTCGGCCGCCCTGCTGCTGCACCACAGCAAGGAGATGCACGGCCGGGAGCGCATCCACGTCTGCCCCGTGTGCAGGAAGGCCTTCAAGCGCGCCACGCACCTCAAGGTACGCCCCCGCCCCCCTCCCGGCAGCGTCGCCGCTCTTCGCTTCAGGTCAGAGGCGCTGCACGGGCCTAGGACTCAGTGGGGTCAGGACTCTTCCTAGTGAGCGACACGGTTCCCATCTCTTTTCGAGGAAAGGCCCATGGAGGTGAACATATTTACAGATCACCTTGAGATGCCGTTTCTCCCATCGCGGGGACACGTATGAGAGCTCTGTCGGCACCTATGAGCAGGGCTCTGGGGAGGCAGGAACTTCCATGACGGCTGGCAGGCTGCAGAATTGGTCTGGCATCCTGCAGGGGAATTAGCCGATACCTAACCACGCGAGAGTGGCTCCCACTATGAGAGTTGGCACAAAGGCATATATGCCCGCCCGAGCTCAGGGTTAGGTCAGCGTTGTTCGTAGCTGCCAATCATTGGGGACAACCTGAGGGTCCCACTCTGGGATGTCCACACAGTAGAGGAAAGAATGAGGAAGGGTACTGTGATGTGACTTCCAGGACCACCGGTCAGGGGGAGTGCCCAGGCCTGTGACTTCCAGGCCAGAGCCCCTCCTCTGCTGCTGCTTAGTTACCAAAAGCACGAGAATCCTGTGACGCCTGATTGCACAGTGAATCCCACTCTTCCTTTTTCAGGGCCTTTAGAGGAGACGGTCAGTCAGTAAACAGAGTTTCTGTTCTCCAGGCCTCCATCTGCCTGGCACCTCTCGCCTCTTTTTCTACTGTTTTCTGAGATGAGAAGCCCCAGTATTAATGTGTTCTGAAAAGAGACTCCATGTTCGTTTTTAAAAGCAAAACACTGACTGTCAAACGAAGTCTTCTTGCAGAGGCTGCAGCGCGAGGTCGGTGAGGTTGGCGAGCGCTCCTTATGCCTGAGGGGCCCCCAGCCCCGCCCAACCTCTGTGTGCCTCTGCCTCTGCCACTTAGAGCCTCTGTGCTCCTGGTCGGGTCACGTACCGTCTGCAGCTTCAGTTTCCTGCTTTATAAAATAAGGGTGTTAATACTTACATTTTAGGGTGAGTTTGAGGAATATAAAGCACTTAAGGCCTGCACTGAGCTCTTAGTAGACAGTACAGAAATTATAACTATACTAACGTTACAGCCTGATAGAGAAGAAATCCTTTTGAAGAGGGAAAAGAATAAAAATCGTTCAAGAAAATTTAAGATGTTTAAAATCGTATATGTTACTATATATAGACATAACTCTTCCATAAACATCTACAGTTTGAAATACTAAATTTGGCCTTTTAATACTTATAAGTTACTTTCTCTTGATGACCTTCAGAAATCTGGAATTTTTAAAAAATTACATTGTGCCAGAAAATAAGGAAGTACCCATCACACCCACATGCAGTATATGACGGGACCGTGTCAGGGGGACACGGGGGCAACTGAAAGAGTTCCTAGGGGCCAAAGCTGGAGCAGCCGGGGCAAGAAAACAAAGTAGAATTGGGTTATAGCCCACAGTGCAAAACCTCCACGATCGTTACTGGTGGAAACATGATCGACTGAACAGGCTAGTCTCCCGTGCAGAAGAATCCCGAGTAGCCCCTGTGGATGCTGTCCCCAAGAGGGGGTGGCCCCACTCCTTAGGGGCGAGCGGCAGCAAGGGCACGTGATGGGAGGGGGTACAAATGGCCGCCCTTCTCTGGAGAAACCTGACAGATGCTGCCTGCGTGATCAGAGTCAGTGCCAGCAGTGATGATACTGTGGGATGGAAATGGCACGGAACTCCCCACGGCCCACACCCCACAGCCCACAGCCCTGGTCTGGTGATGAGGAAAACATCAGACACCTCTCAGTTGAGGGACATCCTGCAAAATATCCAGCCGGTCCTCTAACAACTGTCACGGTGGCCGACAGGGAGGGAGGCCGAGACACCACCCCGCCCAGATGCAGCCCAGGGGCTCGGGGGGAGCCTGGGTCTCCCTGGCAAGCTGCAGGCCCGGCCTCCCATCCACCGGGTACCACCTCCGACTCTGCTCCGGGAACGCCCACGAGGGTCCGGATCGGAGGCGAGCCTGTGGTCCTCCTCCCACTGACGGGCCTTTCTGCGCCGGGTTTTCCTCTCCTGTTTCAAGTCTAAAGTTCTGGTATGATCTTCAGTATTCCTCACATGTGTGTTTGTCTTTACCAGGAGCACATGCAGACGCATCAAGCCGGTCCTTCCTTGAGCTCTCAGAAGCCGAGGGTGTTCCAGTGTGACACTTGTGAGAAGGCCTTTGCCAAACCAAGCCAGCTGGAGCGACACAGCCGCATCCACACAGGTGACCGCGCGGCGGGACCCCCACAGCCGTGCTTCGTTCCCCCTCCGCCCCTCCGTCTCCTCGGGACCACGGGCTCGGCCTCCCACCCTCTCTGATCTTCTGTGCACCCCTCCAGGCCTCTATTCACCTGGCAGCCGGGCCAGAGCCCTCGGAGGCTCCCCCTGAGCACCCCCGGCAGAGCCCGCCAGACCTCCCTGAGCCCCCGAGGCCCCGCGGCCACAGGCAGGTCTCTCCCCACATCCAGCTCTCTGTCTGGCGCCCACCCTCTTCCCGGTGCTCTCTGGTGGGTCATCGTCTTCCCAGCCCTTCTGTCCCTTTGCCGGCCGTCTCTGACTCACCTTCACACGGACGCCTCCTCCCGAGAGGCCCTGCCCCGCTGGTGCCCCGGCTGGCATGAGGGCCTCCTGTGTGGTCAGCAGGTGCCCGGCAGCCCTCCCTGGCCTGCGGGCCATGTGTCCTCAGGGATGCCCCTTGCCTGTCAGCGCAGACCCGGCGCCCACCGGGTGTCCAGCAAGTAGCTCTTGAGTGAAAAACAACCATGTGGTTACTTCATAATGCATTCGTTCAAAAGCATAATCAAGAGAAACGACTGCCGTTTTTACTAGCATAGATGCACGTGAAGGGTTTGGCATGTGTGTAAAGTGGGCACCTTGTGGCTGTCACTGGGGCCACGTCCCTGCTCACATGGGTGCCCCGTCGTCACTCCAGCTCCTGATGTCTTCAGCTTCCCCTTCCGTCTCCAGAGAATCCCAGCTTCTGAGGACGGTGTGATCAGGGTGGGCCCGCAGGGCAGTCTCCCTTTTGGTCACTCCCAGTCATCTGACGAGCGACCTAGTTCATCTGTGGCCGTTCTCGTTTCTCAGGCATGACGTCATCATAGTCCCAGGCCCAGAGTTCAGGGCAGGAGACCTTGGGGGGCCATTTTTGGGACTCTGCCTGCCCTAGGCAAGCTGCAGGAAGACCTCCTTTGTCGTTGGCTGTGGAGGGACACCTGGGGGGCTGAGGACCAGGTGCTCCCAGGACAGCCCTGGGGGTGCTGGCACGTGACCCCGAGAGGCAGCGTGGCAGAGCATGGGGGAAAGAACCTTCAAGGCCAGGGGGAAGGGCTGTGCCAGGCCCTGGGGCAGGAAGGGACCCGGTCCCTGGGACTTGGAAGTGGGTGCGTGACAGCGAGGGGTGGCAGGACTGCCAGGGCCGCAGGGGGTGGAAGCAGAGAGATGCTGCGTGGGGCGGGCCGGACTCCGCAGTGTGGCTGTAGGGCAGGCGTTCACCTGGGCAGGCCCCCAGCGGAAGTCAGCTTGGCGACTTTTCCCTCCATTTGTCAGTTTCCACGTCAGCTTGAAAGCAATTAAGTACCGTTTGAAGCATATTGTATAAACCATACTTTTAGTCAATTGGATTTGATATTCCCATGTCCTTAATGTCTTTTTGCTTTTCTGCTCAAAATGGATTAGAAACATTTTGTTTGAACCATATGTGCTCTACCTTTATTTCTGGGTGCTTCTAGGACTTTCCATAGCTTTTGATCAAGGTGTCTTTCATGGCTCCCCATGGAGTGGCCTTGCTGGAACCCTGTGGGTTAGCATCCTGAGTGAGGAACGTCCTTAGCCTGCTGTTAAACTCGCATCCCTTCTTCGGAGTTACTCTGTGCTGTGTGTGCTCGTCGAGCGCCATCTATCAGGGACGCTGACTGTGCTGTCTGTCCCCAGGGGAGCGGCCATTCCACTGCACCCTCTGCGAGAAGGCCTTCAACCAGAAGAGCGCGCTGCAGGTGCACATGAAGAAGCACACGGGGGAGCGGCCCTACCGGTGCAACTACTGCGTCATGGGCTTCACGCAGAAGAGCAACATGAAGCTGCACATGAAGCGGGCCCACAGCTACGCGGGTGAGGCGTCCTGGCTGCACGGTGCGCGGGGCTCTGTGAGCTGAGCGGTCCGCGCCCGGCCGGCCCCCAGGGGTTGGCCCTGCGTCCCCGCCTCAGGCTCAGGGTCCAGGTCGGGCGAGTCTGTGCCCTGTGGCTCCGCAGATGGGCCTCCGTGTCCCCGAGCTGACTCCCCCGCATTGGTGCCGGCAGGGCAGGGGCGTCCCTCTGTCCGCCTTGTTTCCCGCGTCGTCCAGGAATGCCCGCACCCTTTATGGAGACAGGCAGGGGCGGGGGGCTTGGGGCGGGGGCTGGAACGCAGCCCGCGGAGTGTCTGCGACAAGTCAGGGAGGGTTACAGCCTGCGTCTTGGGCTCGCTCTGCCGGTCTGGGTGCTGTGGCCACGAGGGGAGTCGGACGGCCTGAGCGTGGCGGGAGTAGTGCCCAGGGCTTTCCTGGAGCCACAGGGGTAGGACCCTTCGTGTTGTGAAGTTTTTGAGGAAGAGGAAGTTCTAACATCTACACACTAGTGCTTCGTGCTTTACTTTCTGTTAGAAAACTTGTGCCTGTCGTTATCACTAGTATTAATTAGTAATCGCTCATCAAGGATGTCATACGAACATAGGCTTTATGAGCATAGGGAACGAGCGCTCTGTGCGTATTCAAGTATTCGTATTCAAGTAACAGTAATTGTCGTCACCGACAGAATTATGAAACCTGCAGCTCAGATGACTTTTTTCACCGGGAAGGAAAACAAATCAACTTAGGAATTTCTTGTCTCCGTTTAAGTTGTCCTTATTTAAATGTGAATAATTTTGTGCTAGTGAATGTCTGGGACTCTTTCTTTATCACCACGGCAGGAACCTTGCAGGAACCCGCCGTCCCCCAGGAGCACGGAGGGGAGGTGCTGAGCCGTGCGCTCCACCTGGAGGAGGTGGAGCCGGAACCCGCGAGCGAGTGGCAGACCCTGGCCAACGTGTTCTGACACAGCCCGGCCCCGAGAACGTTTCCAGAGTGAAGTGTGGAGAAGAACAAAGCACTTGGGATTTCTGTTTTGAAGCCTCAAGTGTTAAAAATGTTACCACAATAGCTATAAAATTATCTAAAGAATCATTGGCTTTCAGAGACTTCAGGAAGAAAGCTGGGAAAGGTGGAAGCACGTTGCTGTTGTTCTGCAAATCACTGAACTCAGGTACTACGTCAGCAGTCTCGCCTACTCCGTGGCCAGTGCGTCTAGTTAAAAAGAAATTAACTGGATCGGACTCTCATTGTAGTGTGATTTCTTTGTATTAGCAAAGACAGAAGTTAACGTGGAAAAACCCAGATAGGTTTTCCTTCATGCTTTCTGTTATAAGAAGCATAGCTCATGAAACAAACATAAGATAGGTGCATGAAGTTCGGAAAAAACGTTACAACACGCAGGGAGGTTTTTTCCATCTTTTTCTCTGTGAATTTTGAAATTAGTAGAAATTGACTCTAATTTTTAGTCTACCATAAGTTAATATAACTAATACCTTGAGAGATGGCCGGACCAGTTCTCTCTCCATTACAAATATCTAATCGTTAGTGACAAGAATGCAGTGTCTGGGGCGTACACCCGGGGAGTAGAGCAAGCCTGACACACACGTGAGGATCCAGCTGTCCGCGCGGGATGATGCCACTCGCGCTGCCCGAGTCGATACTCGGGTACATGGGTCGGGCTACCGCAGAAAGCACAAGCCATGCACTGCAGGTCCGAAATCACAGAATGGTCTCCTGGGAACAAAGGGACTGCAGCCCTGTCCGCCTCAGTGATTAAGAAGTGTATTTGTACTTTGAGGGTAAGAACCTGTATGAGCCCCGTGGTTTTCTCTTCGTGCATAAGCAGGTGTATTTTTTATTTCAGGGAATTCTTTAGTATCATCAATGGTGCCACGTTGAACATGTCCCAAACCAAATCCTACCCCGCGCTGCCCGCGCTGGGGCAGAGTGTGTGTCGTTCCCACAGCATTCCAAAGATGGAAACTTCTTTACTTCATGTGAATCTCTCCTTTGAAATTATTTATATGTTCTATATATAAATACATATGTACATATACAGATATAGGGGCCTCTGTGTGGCCGAACAGTATATTTTGTAAATAAGCACTAGTCCCAGTTACAGAGAGAGCGACAGAGTTTTTACCTCCCAGCGAGCACTTCAGACCAGTATTGTATTCATTTTATTAATAAATGGATATCCTTGTCATTGTGACATAAAGCTGGGGTTGGTTTTTTGTTTTTGTTTTTCCTGAAAAATAATCGCCTTTATTTTCTCTCTCATTGCCTCGCTGGTTTCAGAAGAGAGCAGTTTTATGATATAAATATTGTATGGACTTTGTACATTAAGAGAGGAGCTCATTTCAGATTCCTGAAGAAAGAGACATTTTACTGTTATTTTTTGAAGGGGCGTCTTTTGATTTTTTGCCGTCCACGCTTCTGGCGTGTGTATATAAGTAACATCGATAGTGATATAAAACCTTTTGTTATGTGAAAATATTTAAGTCAGAAAACTGTTAAATAATATTACTTTTTTTTTTCAAACTGCTTTATGTATTGTATATTTTTTTAAGGGAGAAAAAAAAAAAAAGCCTTATTTGACTTATTCTTGTGATGCTGGACTTGTATACCCTGAGGTTTTTCTTGGATGTCAGTGTGTATACCTGGCTGCAGTCTGTTATTCAGAATAATTGTCATTGCGCCAGAGTTAAAGGTTCTGCTTTTATTGCACTTTTCTTTTATAATTTTGTATTAAACTATTTTAGAAATGTTGATTAATTTTGGTGAACAAATATCTCCGAAGTTGAAATGATTGAAATCTTAAAAATTTTGTTTTTGCTAGGTTATTTATTTTGGTTTCAGCATTAAATGTCATCTCAGGTCAGTCTCTAAAAGGGGTTTGTTTAATTCCTAATTGTATAGAAAGCGTAGTTCAGTGAATTGTATTGGTGCACTGCCCAAGTAAGGCCTTACCAGGTGAATCTAAAGCCTACTTTTATTTTGGTTAACGAAAAAACAAATCTATCAATAATCTGTTTTGTGAGTTTTCTCAGTTTATTATCAGGCAAACACAAGACATTAATGTATTCTTTTGATTTACTTCCTAATTATAAAAGCTGCTTCTTTGCAAGACATTCCTTGAAAAATAAGGTTTTGTAAAGACATAATATCACTTGAACTTTTTGGTGGAGTGGAGTACAGGTTGATCTTTATACTTTACTGGTTGATAAAAAGTCTTCTGACAAGAGATTTCTAGTCTCCTGCATAACCAGGGTTTTGAGGATAGATAATTGTATTTTTAAAAATATCTCATCATAGCGTATCTGCTTTGGAAATAACAATAAATAAAAAATGAAGTTAGGAAATGTGATTAATTTTTTTCTTTTAAAATAGTTTGGCACATGAATTCCTTTCAAGCTCAGGTTTTTACAGAAAAGCATTTTAATCATATTTTCCTGTACCTCTGCGCTTGACGAACGCTACCCTTGCAAGGTTTATTTGCAGATCTTCAAACTAAAAATCCGAATATGGTGTGATGACAGGCAGGCCGTCTGTGTTAGGTAGCAGTGTCTGTTGTTTTCACTGTTGGCCATATTCAGCGGTATCCTGGTCATAAATGACCAGGCAAGAAAACAAAGTAAAATTGTAAAGTAGTGCCTTTAGAAAGGGCATGACTGTCTTTAACTGTCTTCTGTGGTAAAGTAACGGTGAAGCCCTTAAGTAAGCCGAAGGAGGGTGCGTTCCCTTCCCACCCATGATACTGAACTGGAAACTGGGATGTGGCTCACAGGCCTCTGGGGGGCAGGAGGCAGCTGCACAAGTGGTCGCGTCTGCGTGAAATGGCGGTAGATGCAAATGGAAACACCTTTGCACTCCCACGCCCTGCCCCAGGCTCTCCTCTGTCCCTCTTAAAGGCAGGCGTGTGGTTGGAGGGTCCTGCAAGAATGGGGCTCAGCCTGCAGCCTGTTGGTTCAGCAGGAAGTCCCTCAAATGTCTCCTTATCCTCTGACAGCACGCTACTGACAGGATGAGGAGAATCGGTCCTAAAGTGAGTAGTTCCCATCCTTGCGTCAAGTTTCCATCTCCTCCAGTGTCAGCACTGAACTAGCGAGTGTTTCTCCAGAAGAGTATTTTGTAATTCCTGCCCATTGCCGTTGGTGAGCTTGAGTTCTACAAGAACACCAGTATTTATGCGCAAGAGGTGCGTGCGTTAGTACAGGGGCGGAACTCTGAAAAGGAGGTGGGTTTCTGTTCTTCCCACGGAGTTTCCTCTTTGCAGAAGGATATTGATAACTCATGAAGATACACATTTTTAACATTAAAAGATCATCACTCAGATTTATGTAAATCTGAAACAGCTAAGGTGATTTTTATTTTTTCCTGGGCTTTGCTCAGAGGGAATGGTAAGAAGTTTGCTGTTCTCATTGCTTGTTTGTAGAAAGAATATTGCTCTATTAGTGTTCCAAATACGGCGGGTGGGGGAAGGGGGCTGTTCTTTCAGAAGCGATCAGGTCGTGGCCCATTTGTTCCCTCTACCGTGGATTGCAGCTGTTTAAAATGGCCCGGCCGAGTGTTTCCGGAAAGCGTGGCTTTTTGGTGGTGTAAGATTGCTGCTGATACTTAAACACAGTCAAGGGCACGAGTCTACGGTGCGTCCTGGGCTTGGGCAGAGCTGGGAAGTCAGGCCTTGGGGCCTCAGGTCAGATTAGCCAGGGCGCTGACGGGCCGCCTGTCTTTAGGCAGTTCGGTTCACTTCTCTGGTCTGTAAAATTAGTTGATTACATGTCTTCCTTCCCAGCTCGAGGACCTCTTCTTAACCAGTGAGCTGTGGTGTATCGGGAGGTAGTTCTCCAGGGGTCTGTCTCATTTCTGCAAGTGTTAGGGGTAAAGCACTGGCCATCTCTGCTCCACGATCTCTTCAAGGCAGTTTGAAGAGAATACGACCTCGGGAGAGAGGACATCTTCCTCCAGAGCCAAGTGATGCTTTTCTTACTGACCCGTGTAATCAAGGTATGTCTCACCGAAGCAAAGGTCAGGCCGGCTTGCCGTGTGTTTATTGGAGACTCAGGTTCCCAAAGCCCTGCTTCCTCTCCCGGGACACGACACCCTGCGTGCAGGCATCACCTGGCCCGCTCTGGGCTGCGTGTGGAGGTCGCCTGGGGTATCAACACAGACGCCGGGGCTCTGGTGCCTCCTCCTGCTGTGAGTTGCCAGCCCCTGCTCTCTGGCCCGGGAGCCTCAAGTCTCCTGCCAGCAGCCGGGAAGCTGGCGGGTCTTCTTCTAAGCCGGCAGGTGGGGAGAACTTACCATGTTTCACAGTTGTTGGCAATATGTTCCCGGCTCAGCATACTCTATGAATGGAAATTTTTTTTTTACAAATGTCAATGATTAATTTATTGTGCACCACCCATAGTGTTATTTCTATCACTGAGGAGATGTTACTGTCATGCAGTATCTTTAAAGTGTTAAATCCCTCTGCTCTCTAAGGAAAAAGTGAAAAACGGGGCAACACACAGCCCCACCCTCTCCTTTCTGCCAATAAACAGGTATTTCCCTGATTTTTAAATTCTCTATCGACCAGAAGTGATGGTTCTATGCCACTAGTTTAGTATCAGAACAGGGTGATTGTAGGTTACCCTGTTAACCGGCTTCAGGGGAAGAAATTCTTACGGATTAACTCGAAGTAGCTCATCTTGATGTGATCTCAGCCAGAGGTGGACAACAGGTGGCCATCTGCACCCTCATCACCACGCATTGTTTTCTAGGTTGTCTCTGAATTATCTTTCTCAAGTTTAATAATCCGAAATCTTTATCCTTCTTGTGTAAACTCTTTGAAGCAGTTTCAGATTTACAGAAAAGTTGTGAGTGTGGCACAGAGAAATCTTCATAAAACACCCCTTTCCGGTGTTGCCGAACCTGTGAAGGATAAGATCTTTGTGCAGCAGACCCGGTGCAGGGTCGTGCCGGCACCTGCACCCTCTTCACCCGGGATGCCCCTCCCCATGTCGCCGTGGTTCCTGTTACCCTGACGTCTGAAAGCGAGTTCAGCAGCCGCCCCCGCCCTGCCGTGCCTTCCGGTTGGGCCGGGTCCTGCGTCACAGAGGTGATGCTCTTCTCAGTGCGTCTTATCAAGGTGACACGCAGTGTCCACGTGTCCCATGACTGATGCTGTCGGTGTCAACCCTGTAACCATTTCCCCTCTGTAACCGGTGAGTATTTGTGAGAGGCTCTGCGACCACGCGGCCAAGTGCCTCATCCCGCCGACAGCCTGTGTGGTACCCCGGCGTCTCCCTGCTTGCAGGTCCCTTCATTCCCTCTGTCATCAGGAGCTGGTATTCCACTTTGAGAACGGGCTTCCTGTTCTCCCTCGGTGGTTTATTCTTGTGTTTATGGTGGTTCGGGCTTGTGGCTTCCTGTTTTATTTCATGGCTGCAATCTATCAGGATCCTTCCTTATTTTGACTCTCAAATAGTCCTGGATTTGGCCAGTAGGTGCTCCTTCAGGTAGCTTTGAGTCCTTTTGACATGCCCACGTTACTCTCTGAGCGCTTTCTTACTTTCTGGCCCAAGAAATTGTTCCCTTTCCCTGTCCCAGCGCTGGAACCAGCCATTTCTTCCCGAAGCCCTGGCTCCCTCTAGTGGAGCGTGGTATTTAGAAGCCAAGAGCTGAGTGGTGGGGGTGGGGGGGGGAAGAGAGAGAGAGAGTGTGAGTGTGTGTGTGTATGTATGTGTGTGCGTGTGTGTGCGCGTGCACTCATCATCGATCTGAGACTTTTCACCCGTCTACACGTGAAACCATGGGGTCCCATAGATGCTCCAACACTGCAGGCTTCATCCCCTCCCCCTCCAACAGTGAGAGCCCCGCCTCCGGACGCACAGCCAACTCCTGCAGCTTGGCTGGCTCCTGGCTGCCTGCAGGCCCTGCCCTCGTTTCCTCCCTCCTCAGGGGGGAAGCGAGCATCCACATGGACTCGCAAGCACTCTGGGGTCCCCCCGCCTCGGTCACTGCAGCAGCCTGTGTTGCTTGTTTCGCTCTGAGGTTTGGCTGCTGAGGTGCAGAGACAGGCGTCCCCGAGGAGGGCGGGACGTTGCCCACCTGTGCGGCAGACCCGTTATCGTAAGTGACTTTGCCACAGTTCATGTTAAGGGAGGCGAACCGGTCACTGACCTCTGGGTCCAGTGGGTGTCTTCCACGGGCAACGTCCCCACCTCCCCGGGGGGCCTTCGTCAGAGGCCAGGTTCTGCCCCCCGAGGTGGGCGGGGCCTCCCAGGGCTACCGTGCTGCTGGTGCAGGTGCCATGGGCACAGCCGCCAACCCAGCGCCTCCCGGGCCATCAGGACACCCCCTCGGGGGCTGTTGTGCACCCTGTCAGTCACTCTGTCCGCGCTCTGCTCCAAATCTCTCCTTAATTTAGCACCAGCATCTGGAACTAGGCTGCGAGCAGCAGGGGCCCCAGCTGGTCTGGATGCGGTTGAAGCACTGGTCATCTTAGGCGTGCTCTCGGGTCTTGACCGAGCAACGAGTTTCTGGAGTTGGTGAGGTTCGGGTGCTGGGCGAACCCGTGTTCTTTCACGGTGCGGGGGGGGGGGAAGTCGAGCTGAGAAGAGGCTGTGAGAGGAGGAGCTGTCACCCTCCCCCTGGGGACAAAGTTGAGATTGTCTGGGGGGCAAGGGAGAGCCCGACTGAAATCAGCATGTTTCTCGAAAGTTAGGTGGTTGATTCTGCTTCCAGGGCAAATGCTGTCAAAGGACGTTGCTCCAGGGTCGTGCACTGGAGTGAACAGCCCGCGGTGGTTACCCGTCCCTCGGCTTCACCGGGCTGCGATTGCGCACCCCCTCCTTACGCCGCTTTGCCCAGGATTCCCTGACTCTTCGCTACTTTCAAGAGAAAAATCGCCACAGAAAATGCACTGAGATGCTTCACTTCATGTTACCTTTTCGGGGAAAGAAGCAAGCGTCCTCCCTGCAAAGTCCTGTGGTTTAATTAAAACTCTTGCCAGATGGGGGTCTAGGACATACTTGTCGCTGCACGAGAAACACACACCTGCTGTGGATTGACTGGTGCCCCTCCCCACACAAATCCATCTGTTGGAGCCTTCACTCCCAGTGTGACAGCACTTCTAGGAGCTAATCAGGGTTTAAGGGCGGTCTCAAGGGTGAGGACTGGTGCCCTCATAAGGAGCAACACCAGCAGTGTGTCACGTGCCCAGAGGAGGGGCCGCGGGGAACCAGCAGGCAGGTGGCGTCTGGAGGGCGGCCTCCCCAGAATCCCCCTGCCAGCACCTTGGCCGTGGGCTTCCAGCCTCCAGAACCCCGAGCAAAGAAAATATCTATTGTTTCAGCCGCCCAGTCCGTGGTATAGTGTTACGACAGCCCTAATAGACTCAATTAAAGGCTTGGCTCTTCTCGTTTTCAGATGCTACATAAGAAGGCTTTTCTTTCCCTATTTCAGTGTTTTCCTCAGGCCCCAGTTCTCTCTCCTCCCAAAATCCCAATTCCAATTTACAGCCCGCACCCGATTTATGAAGCCAGCCCCACGGATTGAGCCGACATCCTCTCCGCTAACCTCTGACCTGCTCCCGACCTCAACCCTCCCTCCAGAGGTTGTTCCCGCCGGGCTGGGCACCCTGGACCAGCTCCTCGGACCATCCTCCGCCCAGATGGACAGGAGGCCACATACGTTTCTCGGTCTGGACCGAGTGGCGTGGAGGTGGCTGTGCAGATTGATACGATATCTTGGAAAGCGTGATGATTGTGGTTTCCTGTCCTGGTGGGAAGAGCCTTTCTCGGTTCAGTAGACCCTCCCGATACCTCTAGACCCTGCGAGCGATGGTCCTCGGGGTGAGCACAGTGAGATGAGGAAGAGTGTCCCGGCTGGGGTTCCAGCACCCACTTCTCTTGGAGCTCCGCCTGGTAAACTAATTTCCTTCAACTTGAGGGGGGTATGCAGACCGCTTTGGATAAATGCTCAGTGAGAACACCCCTTCCGTGGTTCATTTCCTATTTTGCGTCATTTTATTTTAGTATCACATTATCATGGTAAGCGCTGTGTTATTCTAGGACACCCCTTGGTTTACCACTTAATGCATTTTCTATATATGTAACATTAAAATAGACTTGCCAACTGGAAGAGCAGAATTGAAAAGATGTGATGTCTTTGTATGCTTTTCCAAATCCCTTGGTCTGAAGGGGTTTGGGGGTTGGCATGGCTTGGAGTCTATCTACCCCGTGGATGGGGCCTCAGGCTACTGGGCGGGCCGGCTTTTATTGTCGGATTGGATGCGCACAGCACGCTTGAGCCTGGGTGCTCCCTGAGGACGGCCGGTGTCACCCTGCAATCGACGGGGGGAGGGCGCTTCCCTTGCTGGCATTTGTGAGTTTCTCAGGGCTGCTCCTGAGACGGAAGGGAACCAGTGGTTTGTTAAAAGCAAAACATAAGATTTCCATTTACCTTTTTGAAAGATAATTCTTGTAACCAAAAGCAACTATACATAAAATTTCCAGTATCAGTTATCTTTGTCATCGTCTCTGCGTGGCAAAAGTCATTTTTCAAAGGTTCTTCAGTTCAAGTTAACGGGGACTGGTATGCTGGTAAGATAGTGAAATGTAAATATACTCTAAAGGATTGTTTAAAGATAAATGAAAAATTACTTTCCTTGTGAGTCAGAGACTCAGTGCCCTCACGGCGGCCCCTACTCCACTTTCTCTTATTGATACACAAACCATCTGATGATAACTCGCCTCCTCAAACAGGTGCCGAGAGGCAGCTCTGTCCTGTGACAGTGAGACGCCTACTCACATCAGCTCTGAGTTTTGCTCTACGTGGGCTCGCATTCCACAGACCAGAATAAAAGCCAAAGAAGACGGCCATGCAAATATCATTAAAAGTGTATTTTATTTCAATATTCAAGAACAGTGCATACTTTCCACGAGACCCAGGGTCACAGCTCTTGCTGTTGGGTGTAGCCACGAATGGAGGTCACTCAGTCAGCAGTCAGCTCAAAGATGCAGTGTGTGTGTGTGTGTGTGTGTGTGTGTGTGTGTGTGTGTAGCAATTTGGAGGTTTTGTTTCAGAAATTTTCTTCCTTTTTTTTTCTTATCCTCTCATCATTGAGGCTATATATTAATAGACATTATATTAAACCCACACGAAACATTCAAAATTAGAAGGGGATTAGAGTCGCGTTTGGGCGTTATGTTGACTAGGTCCTCATCTCCGTCCTAGGGGGGCTGACGCCAGTGTGCGGGGCTCCTTGGAGGGCTTGTGGGAGAGATGCTGAACTCAAAAGGTGAGAATCAGTAGGTTACGGGGAGCGGGGGGAGCGCAGGAGATGTCAGCTCGCGTTAGGAAACAGCGGGATTGGAGGACCTCTGCCCATCCCCACGTGCTCGGCCGGCGATTCGGGAAAGGCCAGCGTACTCGTCGTCAGTGGGTTTCCTGGAGGAAGCGGGCGGGACGGTTACGTTTCCGCGGGGGTGGGGGAAGAGTTTAGTGTTTGCCGTGTGCACCGCCGTGCTGAACTACGCCACCTGTCACCTTCGCGCTCACGGTGACCAGCCTGCCACCGCGAGGCTCCCCGGAAACTCCTGCCACCGCTCCGAGCTGCGCCACCTCCCGGCCGGCCGCCGGGCTCGGGTGGAAACAGGTCGTGGCGAGGCCGCTCTGCTGCCCGCCGAGCCTGTGCCGTCGCCGCCCGGTTTCCCAGAAGAGCCCGGCCCGACTCTGCCCCCGCGCGCCCTCTCCGCCCGCGCCGATCCGGCTCATCCGGGTGTGTGAGCCGCGGCCACCACGCGGGACAGTCCCCGCTGCCCGCCCGCCTGTCACGTACCAAAGCGCCCGCCGCCAAGCCGCTCCGCGCCCAGCCGATTGGTTAGAAGGGGAAAGGCTTCGCGGGGTGAGCGGCGGAAAGAAACCAAAGGAAGCTCGGAGCCGCACGGTCTGCGCGCCCCGCGCGGTGGTCCCCAGGGCCGCGCCCCGGGCCATCGCGGGACGGGGGCCGGCGACGGGGGAGGGTCGCCGGCCCCGGCTCTCGGGGGACGTCACTGATCTCCAAGGGCGAGGGGACAGAGGGGCGGCCGGCCAGAAGCCGGCAGGCCGCGCGCGGGGCCTGCTGTGCGCTGTCGCCAGGGTTAGGGGGCAGCGGCTACGTTAGGGATCTACGGCTCGCGGTTAACTTCCAGGCAGTTGTGTTAAGAAGCTGGGGACGGACGGGATTCCGGGACACGGGGCAGGGCTTCAGCGTCTCGCCATTGGGGACCCCGAACGGCCGTCTCGTCCTCCCTGAGAAAAGGAAACAGAGGGTTAGGAGGGCCGGGGCCGCCCGGCCGCCCTGCGTCCTTGCGGTCACTGGGTCGCCAGCCACGGGGCCTCTTCTGGGTCTGTTGCTGGAAATGATGCCGCACGGAGCAAGTCTTTGACCCCGTGTCTCCAGCATCCTTTAGCCCGTCGGACCTCCAAGTGCCTCAGGGCAAATAGGACGCAGAGAGTTGGGGGTCTCGTCTGAGAACGTTGCATTTTCCGGGCGTGAAAAGCGCAACTGATATATTACCAGGTTTTGAAGGAGCTCGTTTCCTCGGCCAAGATTCCCGGGGACCGGGGGAAGCGGCCCGTGAACGATGACAGGGACAGGCTCCTCTGTGGGAGCTGAGGTGCTGATGTGACGGGCACACCCTTGCTTGGGCCGCCAGGGAGGGGCCACTGCTCAGCTGGTCTCCCCGGGGACAGTCCCCTCCCATGAGCCCTCTTCTGCGTCACCAAGAAAACCAGCCTCCCAGAGGGGCCGGCCACTAACTCCGACCTCAGGGTCTTAAAACATGTGAATTGACATGTTTTCTGGACAAATACAATTTGCAATAAAAAAAAAAAAAAAAAGAGTTGGCAGTCGTGGAGGTGGAGACGGCTGGGCGGGGACAACTTCTTCCAGGGAGCATGGCTGGGCATCGGCTCTGAGAAGGTGGCACTTGTCACCCCAGATGTCACTTAGATTAACTCGGAAAAGGGCGCTTTTTTTTTTTGCCTTTGAATTTTCATTCAAATTTTAGTCTCTTTGGATTTCCCTTTTCTCTTAGGTTATGGATGAAAAATTGACCTCTCAAAGATTCATTCCCTTGCGACTGTGAGCCCCCAGAGAGCAAGACAGACATGAAATACCCTGTTGACCAGATGACAGACGGGCACCTATTGACCTGACCTCGGCCATGCCTCCGTCCCTCACGTTACCAGAAATAAGGTGACGGAAGCACGAGGGCCCCAGATCCTTATAATTAACGCAGTCAGCCAGAGAGATGGTAGTTCTGATTTCTTGGGGTTTTGCTTTTTCCAGAAACATCCCTATGTTGCTGAACAACTCACCAGAGGAATTTTATTTTCACAAGCGAGAAGGTTTGTGGAATTCTAACCTCTGAAGGTACCAGGAATCACCCAGAGACGCTCCCTCCCAGGGAAGGGGCTTTGTCACCTCAGCCTCAGGGCCACCCTCCTCAGCGGGGACTCGGGTCCGGTCCCGTGTGAGCCCGGCTCAGCTTTGCGTGCTCGGTCCTCAGAGCCGCTGCCGGAGAAGCCCTGATCCAGTCTGCCCTGGCCCACCGTGCCCTGAATTTCCCGCAGATCAACCTGTTAGGGCTCCCTCGAAAGTGTGATTTATTCCTGCGCAGGAGCAGAGTCACGGCCCCATCTGACAAAGTACACCTGTGCTGAGACGGAGTCAGCGCCCCACGCCCTGGGCCAGACAGTTCACGGGAGACGCCACTCAATGTCCTCGGGGCTCCTTGTGAAATGATAAATGGCACATTTGGGGGGTTTATTTTCTATCATCGTGCCTACAATTTATTGAGCATCTCCCGCGAGCTAAATCCGTGACGTCTGTTTCCTCTTGTGAACGAGCAAGCCAACATGGAGGGAGGTGTTGTTAGCATCCCCCTTGCCTGGTCGAAAGAGCTGAAGCTCAGAGAGGCTGCATAATTTCCCCAAAGTCAGCCAGCCAAAGGGGTTAGAACCCCAGATGAGGAGGGAAATCGTCCTAACTGCAGACGTCTGGGTTCAGCCCTGGGACGTTCTTGTTCAGAAGTCTTGGGAGACCCAGAAATGGTCTGGGCATTGCAGGCAACCTCCCGGCCAGGCTTGGGCCACTGGTGGAAACCCTGCAGTTCCGGGTTTAGACCCAGAGCTCTTCCGGGGTCTGTATCCTCGCCGTCTCGCTGCTACATTTCAGAATCGAGACACGTATATCGTGATGGTCTCTGTTGCTTGGACGTTTAGGTAGAATTTATTTTCTTATCTGATTTGCCTCAGAATTGACATTTTGAAGAGTGGGTCCTGCCTCTGGTTTTTTTGCTTGTTTGTTTGCTTTTGTGTTTCTGTTTTTTGGCTGTGTTGGGTCTTCATTTCTCCGCAGGCTTTCTCTAGTTGCGCAGAGCAGGGGCTACTCTTAGTTGCGGTGCGCGGGCTTCTCATTGCAATGTCTTCTCTTGTTGCGGAGCACAGGCTCTAGGTGCGCGGGCTTCAGTAGTTGTGGCATGTGGTCTCAGTAGTTGTGGCTCGCGGGCTCTAGAGCACAGGCTCAGTAGTTGTGGCGCATGGGCTTAGTTGCTCTGCAGCATGTGGGATCTTCCTGGACCGGGAATTGAATCCGTGTCCCCTGCATTGGCAGGCGGATTCTTAACCACTGCACCACCAGGGAAGTCCCAGCATTTTATCTGACATTAACCAACTTAGCCACGGTTTACTCACCACTCACTTCATGTATTTAAGGTTTTTCTTGAGGAGACTAAGGGTCCTCAAAGCTGAGTCCTGCTTCACATCACCCACGAGTGTCCAGCATCTTCCAGAATCTGGGTCATGGGGTCCATCCGTGCCGTGTGTATATCCCGACCACCAAATACACCACACATGGGACTCGATATTGAATTAAAGATTAGGTGACCAATCAATGAGTCTTTGGGTTCCTGACCAAATCTTTCCACCATAAATTGTAGAATCTCAACGTTTTAATGAACCAAGTAGGAAGCCCGCTTCTTCAGGTCAGAGGTCAGAGGTGATTCAGGTTGAGGGGCTGCTGTGCTTTGCTGGTGGTGACTGAGCCCTTGAGACGGGGCACACGGGGCTGTCAGATCTCCTGGTGACACGACCACGCCACATACCACGGGACCTTCTCATATTAAATCACGTTGTGACCTGCTGTGATCCCAGCAGGTGTTCCCCAGGAGACGCTCCCATTCTCATCCGAGCCCACGAACACCTGGGACAGGAGTCCGTGGAAACTCCCGCCTCCCCCAGGTGGCTGCCGGACTGAGGACACGGGGGGAGGAAGCTGCCACACGGGGTGAGAATTGGGCTGCGTCTGCCTGCGATGCTGACACCATGATGCTCGAGGACGCAGGATGGTCCAAAGTCCGGGGACCGAGCAGCTGGCTCCCCTCCTGCGGCTGGATCCCGGCTTTCCTTTATCCGCAGGGAGCATCTGACGGTGCTGAGGGCATCGTGGGTGTCGTGTCCTTACAACGCCGCTCCCGTCGTAACAGATGGACTCTGTCTTTTCCTCACTGGCGTTCGTCTTCCGTATGACGTTTCTTCCAGCTGGAAGAGGAGTTGACTGGACCCTCTTAGCAGTCAGGGCTTTGGTCGTAGTTGGATGTCGGCAGGGAAGTGATGGCCTGTTTGGATGAAGAGTCAGCGGAAGTGACGGCTGGGCTGTTACTCTGACGAGAAAACATGGGACCCGAATATGGTGAAGTTTGTCCCTGCCCAGCTGCCCTGTGAACACGGTTCTGTGCCAGGGATGGCAAGTGCCCTCCTGGAGCCTCAGATCTGCATGAACACGGCCCCAGTGGCACGGTAGGCTCGCCGTGGCTCCACGGGGTCATCCCAACTCCCAACCCCCTTCCAGGTTTAAGCCTGAAAAGCTGACACGTGGTTAGAACCTGGGCTCAGCCGTCAAAGCCCCAGATGGGCAGCCGCGGAAATCCACAGGGTCTTCCTTGCTCTCCAGTCCAGGAAGTGCAAAATCCGGTCCCGTTTTTGTTAGTTTTTGCCAGATGGTCTTTCAACTTTAGAACATAAGTCACACCGTGTCACTAGATCCCGGGGACCTCCCCATTCAGGGCCAGGGTCAGAGCGCTCAGGAGGGTCCCGGGACCCTCTGTGGGGGGAGCCCCTTACCCCTCCCACCGGTCACTCGGTGCCGCTGCCGCAGCCGCCTCCCTCCTCTGGGACATGGCCAGGCCTCCCCATGCTCCGTCAGCGGTCAGCCAGGAGCCCCGTCCCCGTGCCAGGCCAGCCCCTGCCCCCCTTTGCGCCCCTGCGCCCGCCACCCGCTCCGCCGGGCCGTGTCTGGGCGCCCCTTCTGGAATCCCGATGGCCTGGAGGGCACAGAGCGGCACGTTCGCGCTCAGCCCATCCCGCCTCCCCGCCACCATGCACCCTGTGTTTTCTGTCGCCCGCCCGACAGGACGACACGGCTCCTTTAAGACGCGGCGGCCTGCGCGTAACGCTTCGCCGGCACTTGACGACGCACCGAGCATGCGCTCAGCAAAGCCCGGCGCAGAACCCGCGGGGCCGCGGTGCTGCCGCCGGGCCGGGGCCCCCGGCGCCACGCCCGGAGCAAAGCCCGTCACTGTGTTAGTCCCGAGGCCTCCGCCACCGCCGCGAAGCCCCTTCCCAAGGCTCTCGGGGCCCCAAGCCTCAGGCGGTGGCGGCATGTTTCCGAGGCTGCGCCTCGTGCCCCAGGGTCTGTGACCTTCCTACGAGGAGCCGTCAGCGGGCCCGGGGCGCTCCTGCGACCGGCCGAGGGCGAGCGAACGAAGGCCGCACACGTCTCTCCTGCCACCTGGAAGTCGCCTCGGCGTCGGGCGGCCAGCGGCGCAGGACGCCGGGGCGGAGCCTGCCGCCCTCAGCCCGTCTGCTCCAGGCCCAGCCCGGCTCCCGGCCCTCCCGTCTCCGGGCCGTCCGGCTTCCTCACAGGTGAGCTTGGCCTCGGTCAGAAGGCAGCCCTGGACGTGGGCGCCCCCGACCTCCCCCGGGAGGGAGGCTCTGAGAGGCCTGGGGGGAAGGGCCACTGCCGGCCCCCCTCCGAGTCCAGAACCTTCCTTTCCCGCTTCCGTGCGGCTCAGGCCCGGGGTGATGGCGCCCGTCCCCCGTCGGAGCCCCTCCGGAGATGTCGGGTGCTCCGAGCGAGGCCGTCTTGTCGCCAGCGGGGGGTGGGGGGGCCGGGCAGAGGGCGTTGTGCCCGCTCCACCGTCACAGCGGCTCCGGCCACGCGTCCGTCACCCCGTCGTCCGGAGGACAAGCCGAGCCTCAGGGAGCCCGGGGGCCCAGGTCACGCACTGACGGACGTGGCTCTGACGCCCGGGTTAACCGACGGGACGGGTGCCCGCGGTCCCCGGGGCCTCTCGTCCATCCAGCCGTCTTCCCCTCGTGTCCCCATGGCTGCCGCCGGTTCCCTCAGGGACGGAGGTGCTGCTGTCTGACCTTCCAGGCCCCCGTGCCTCCCGGGCCCCGGCTGTAACCACGGCGACCCCGTCGTCCGCAAGCTCCCCGAGGGGCCCCGGCCTGGCGCCCGGCGCCGCCCCTGTTCAGGCGGGCCCTGGAGGAGCGCTTGGCGGGGCAGGGATGGCACGTGGGGCGCTGACCGCAGAGAAGCGGCGCGGGGACGAGCCAGAGGCCGGCAGTCCCAGCCCTGTCCCCGAACCCGCCCCCGCGCCGCCCGCCTTAAGAAGGTGGCTTACCAGCTTGAAGATTCTGGAAAGCGTGCCCTGGGCGTCATGCCCCTTGAGGCCCTTGTGACCCGATTTGTAGTCGGAAGCTCTGCCCGCGTAACCGAATCCTGGCTTCTGGCCCTCGGCTCCCTGCAAGAGAGGACGGCCGCTCTCAGTCTGTCCATGCGGCCTGGGCAGCACAGACCCTTCCCATCTGCTTCCCTGGAGGCATCAGCAGCCTTCAGACTTGGTGAAATTTGGGGGCTCCTACCTTTCTAACGTGCACAGACAAAATTCCCAATTCTCCAGCCTGGAGGAGCCTCTCCAGGACGACCAGGACCAGCTCCCCTGGCCGCGGCCTGGGTGCCCTGAGTGTGGATGGTGAACCGGGACCAGGGTCCTTCCAGGGGCTCTGGGCTGGGAGCCGGTCACCGTAGAGGGGAGGGGGCGGGTCCCGGCTGGGAAGCCCTGTCCCCCAGGCCGTGCACCTGGGCACAGCCCCAGAGCCAGCCACCTGGACGGGTCTCAGCAACCCCCCACCCTGGCTGTGTGACCTTGGGCAAGTGTTGGAGCCTCTCTGAGCTTTGGTTTCCTCTTCTATAAAATGGGGATAATGGATGCTCTGCTCTGAGAATGGAGCCTGCGGCTCTGAACTTTCGAGCTTGTTGTTGTTATGGGGAGGGGGGTTCCCCTGGCAGCTCTCAGCCTGGTCTCCAGCTGCCCCGGGAGCCCTTCTCACTTCAGGGAAGATGGAGAAAAATTGCCTTCGTGACACGTAGCAATGACAAGTGATTACTGAAATGTAAGGATATGTGTGTCTCTAGGACCAGTCTGCATTCTAATGCGCTTTAGTTTCAAAGGGAAGCTTCCACTGTGAACACAAGAAAGGAATGGGGGAAACTCTGATGCTCAGACATAAGGAATGTTAGCCTTTGGGGGTAACGGGTGTCCAGCCTGGGGTGCGACATTCCTCCAGGGGTGAACCACACATCCTGTCTGCGTCACAGATCTTATGCAACGGACAGGCTCTGAGGCCTCACTTCAGGTTTCGCCAACAAGAAGTAGGAAGCTCTCTGGGCTCTCCTGAGAATTCTATACACAAAATAAAACCGTCTCCTGATCGAGACCCCAGAACCCTTTGCCTCAGGATGCAGCGCTTTCCAATTTCATGAGGGTGCCTTAGGGCTGGAAGGAGCTTGGGAAACCATGGGATCGATCCCTCTGGTTTAGGCTCCAGAAGCTTCCAGATTCCTCCAGTCCACCCCTCTCGTGTTGGAACTGAAGCTGGACCAGGGCCATCTGTCCAGGCACACCCCCTGCCCTGCACCCCAAGCTACTTCTCTTCAGCCCAGGTTTGGGAACAGACATTGGCCACTCAGCTACTTTCACGTGAAGGTTTGGTTTCAAGGGTTATCAAGTGTGCAAGGGACAGGGGCAGTGAAGATCCAAGACCACATACGAGAGGAGCCCAGAACTGCCCCGAATCCCAGAGGTTTCCATGGACACGCTCGCTGCATCATGGTCCAGGGTCGGGGGGTGGTTAAAGAGGACTGAGCCAAAGGACAGACACAAAAGTTGTCGAGATCCACGCCTTCCCGTGCAAGTGCTAAATCGTTCTCTTACTCTGCTGTTTTCTCCAAAAATAAAGAGCTTCTGAGAATTAAATTCAAGGATTGGTT